CATAATGTCTAGTGAAGCGAATGCTGGCAGCGTTGCTGCTACGGCGGACAAAGCAGAGAAGCCAAAGTTCTCATGGTTGTAAGCAAAGTTCCGACGTCGATACACGCAAGTGTAGTCAAGCTAACTATTGTACAGGCGACCACACCCCATCTTTGTGATAGTATTAGTTGGCCATGATGAGCAACCGTTTGGCATACAGAAGGACTTTCTCTGCCACCGCTCCGAGTTCTACCGCAAGTATTTTGCCGCGAACCAGACTGAGGACACTGTAGAGCACGTGGTCAAACTCGCCGACGCAACGCCCGAGGTGTTTGGGTTGGCGCAAAACTTCCTCTTTACTGGAAAAGTCATGTCGGATAGCGAGGGAGTTCCATCGTACGACTCGCTGGTAGGTCTCTGGAACCTGGGCCACAAGCTTGGTATTGACGGGCTCTGCGACAAAACACTCGAAGCCATGACGGAGTGCCGGAGGTTGACTGAACGAATCCCTTCGACACCGCTCCTGGTGCAGGTCTGGAGAGACACACCCGAGGGCTCGTCCATTCGGATGCTTCTCCTGTCCTGGGCGGCCGAATACATGAGATCGTCCGATGCCCGGGCCGAGTTTGCAAAGTCTCTGCCGCAGGAAGTACTCAGTGAGCTCGTGGTAGCTATGAGCTCGTTCGAGCTGGCCGCGCCAGCGCCAGCGCCAGCGCCAGCGCCGGCACCAGCACCGTCCCAGTCCCCCGTCGTGTCGGCGCCAGAGCTGCCCAGGAAAAACGTGCACTACCTGGAGGACCAGAGCGAGGAGGATCTCAACAACATCAGGAAGAACCGCCGCCTGAGCGGCCCGCCGACCATCATAGCAAGGACGGACCAGTCGCTCGGGCGCAAAGCAGCCCGCACGCCTCTGCCGAAACCGCAGAAGCGCAGGTCCAACGCGGCCTATGTCGACGGCCGCAACTTTTCTACGAATCAGAAACTCGACTTTTGCGCCGACCTGCTTACCAGGATGCTCTCGGGACCAGGTCAGGAACAAGAAGCCCCATCCATGTACACGGCATCCCGCGGGTGCAAAACTACGTGCTAACGTGAAATGAGCAGGCTTCTGGACAAGACTAGTCGGCCCATTCAGAGACCCCGTCGAGCCGGCCGAGGACGGCGTCCCGGACTACTTTGACAAGGTCAAGCGGCCCATGGATCTCACAACGATCAAGGCCAAAATGGACCGACGCGAGTACGCAAGCGAGGAGGACTTTGTCACCGACATGCGGCAAATCTTTGAAAACTGTTACACGTACTGGAAGAAGGGGGACCCGATGTGGCTAGCCGCAGAGAAGCTACAGAAGACGTTTGAAGACAAGTTTTCCCACATGAATAAATGGATCTCTAAGATGGGCGGTGAGGAAGCCGAGTAATCGCACGCCCGGGCTTCTCGTCTGGCAGCACAGCAAGGTAATACAGACAATTGTGTAATACCACTGGCGGGAATGGTAAAAGATACGAACGGTGGACATGGATCTCATAACAGCGAGCATACAAAAAACTGTCGACGTGTAAATGGGTGGTTGAAGAAAGAACAGGCTTGTCGGGAAAACGGTGGCCAGAGAGAGAATAGTGGGTTGAGAGAAACGCAAATTGTATTAGTGGTGATATCACGGGTGCATGTGTATAACGGGCTTATTTTGACATCTTTTTAGCCTGTTGACTTCCCGTTACCTTTGTGAGTATTGTTCTGGGTATTGTGGTGTCTAGAGGTGTGCTCCCTCGCGATTTGCAGCTGCTGACGTCATTATAGTGTTGTGAGATGCAGTGAGGCCATATGGACTGGACACTAATGCTGGGCTGTCCTGGGGAAATGGCACATCACAGAGTGAAGTCGATGACGAAAATACGGCGGATACGGACATTCGCACTGTCGCCCTTGCAAATGAATCAAAGTTGTGAGGGTGACCCTCGGGGAAAGGGGGGTTGATTCACTCGCAATGCAGGCGGTGCAATGTTTTCTAGATGCTACGAATTCAACTTGCCCCTTGCCGGGGTGTCTTGTTCATCCAAGGGTGATGGCAGTGAGCCAGTGACGGTACAACTCGACTTCTGCATGAGCCACGCAGTGGTGACGAGGAGGACGCAAAAGATGGTGGAGAGACACCGTGTGTTCAAAGACAAGTCTCGTAATCGCTGCAGTGAGCCGTCCACAAACTCACGGGCGAACCGTGTATTATCACGCAGCTTCCTAATTACGTGGCAATATCCCTTTAGACAATAGATCTGGAATACAATTGCCCTGGGAGCAAAGTCCTGGACGTGGTGCTTTCGCACGCTTCAATGGCAATGTCGCACATCCCTTTGATTCGAGGGCCGGAGCAATCGTGAGGTCCTTGTCAGCATTCGTCACCTTGGGAGATTTGGTGGAGATTGTTTTATTTCCCCCCTTTTCATTTCTCGTGCCCTTCTCGTGCCCTAGCAGATTCTCTGTAGTCCGCACTCCGTATTTAGTGGCAATCGCGAAGGTAAGATGAGACATTGTAAGACAGTGCATATGGACTGGACTTGGCAGACACGGGCCGGATGCTCGAACCACCAACGCCAATACGGAGTACGGAATAGAAGAAACGAAATTGACCAAGAAGCTCGCGCAGCGTATGATACCTATCTGGGTGTCTGTGCGGTTTCAATTGGTTGGATCTATCGGAGTCATAATTACGCTCTCTGGACCGGAGGATGGAGTGAAACCAAAGTCAAAGTCAACATGACTACGAAACTGGAGCGCACGGCAAACAAAGTTCAAAAATGCAATGGTCAGTATCTGACCCGGGCAAAACGACCTGAAACGAACTCATTTGGCCTCGCAGACTTGGCGGCGTTGGCTCGCTCCGACAGACCACCTAGCTGTTTGTTCCATCGCACCTGGGCGGCTCAAGTGCACAACAAAGAGGACGCAGAAGTGGTCACAAAAGGCTGCTCGTCTTCTAAAAGCAGTCTCTCAAGTAAAGGAGAGGCAAGGAACCTCTTTTTTTTTTTTTTTTTTTTTTTTCTTAATTCTTGTTTTTGGAGCTAGCACACGGATTCGCTGTCGAGCTTGGCAGACGAATTCTTCGAGCACTAGGCGATACACCAGAGGAAACAGCTCAATGGGGAACAATAGCGCGAGAACGGCTTGGCTGGGCTTGATTTGGACCGTTAGATTGTTGGGCGGGTAACTAGTAGTAGACGGGTACCTGAGCGAAGTGTCCACAAGGTTGCATGTGGACTTTGGCGCCCCAAGTGGGCACATGACACGACCGACGTGGTCATCAAGTTGGGCTAGAAGCCGAGGAATGGTTGGTTCTGGATGCCCCTCCTTGGTGCCGCGTGGCAATGGACACACATTTCCCATGAGCCTTTGTGGATGATGCGTGGCATACGTTTTCGCCCCAGCGTTTGCCGAAGAGAATATTGGTGGCTACGTAGGGGCTGTGGTGACCCGATGGAACAAAGAAAAAGCCACGACGCGAATACTCAATGTGAGTGATTTGCTCAAAGACAAAGAGAGGTGGACTGTATGGAAAACAAGCGAGAGATTTATTTAATCGAGTGGATGAAGCCGAAAAGGACAGACAAGAAGGGGAGATGAACGCCTGACGATAATGGGCTTTAATTTAGGATAGCGGGAGAGCCTTTACTCAGAGTCGCCACTGCTTTAGGTCGGCTTTGTTTGCACCTCGCTCCTTCCAAGTTTAGGTTTTGGGTCTGGTAGTACTCCGTATCAAGATTTTGAACCCCTCGTGACTCATTCGCATGGCTGAGTTGACGATGACTGAGGCTCTTCGCATGAGGCTCACAACTTCAGACTTGCTACGTCCATCTGCATCAACCGTCGAGACTCCAAAGATCATGATGGAATATGTACTAACACATACCGCAATGTGGTACTCGAAAAGGCGGCCTGGTATTTTTGGATGGCCGCCAAATGTCAGTGGCGGTGTTGTTGCTGCTGCACTGGGCACGTGAGGGCCAAGAAAGAAAAAAAAATTCATCGTCAGGACAGGTCGGCCACTGGTTGGCGCTGAGAACCACGCGGCCTAGGCTTAAAGCCAACGTTTAACTGGTGAAAAAGTGTATTCTCAATCTGAAGCAGCCCAAGTCGCAAAAATTGGCGGCTGCCCGTGAGCCAGTCTGTGCAGGCAAAGCAGGCCGTGGCAGTTGGCATCTGGGGCCCAGGAAACCATGAACGGGACCCGCTAATATGCATAGTCCCTGCCCCTAGTGCGGCCAAAACAGGGTATGGAGGGTACGCGATGGCGCGTTTTGATTGGCTGCAGGCCACTACCGACGAGTGCCTGGCGGGACTAATTGGCGCTTGTACCTGACCAAACGGTTCAGAGTTCCCCTGGTGGATCGACATCCGCTGGTCTCCAGATGCCCAGTCTGGGTTTCGGCTGAGACACTCAAACACCAAACCGCAGACAGCTGGCCGCGCGACCACGAGATGCGCAGGCCGTCGCGCAGGCCGTCGCGCAGGCCATCTGCTGAGCCGGGGCCTGGCACGGGCCAGAGCTGTGAATGGACCAAGGCCAGCCGTGGCTCTGGACGGGGCAGCGGGATGTGCTTGGGGTCGAGGTGTCGGAAGTGTCAAGGTTGAGTGTCGTGGACTTGTGTGGTTGCTGTCGCCAGGTCGAGCTAGGCTGGCCGCGGGAAATTAAAAGGAGTTGATCCTCTTGCCCGCCATGCTTCCATTGCCCCAATCCACTGCGACGCCTGGTTTCCTCTTCCTTCTTGCCCTTGCACCATCGTCAATTGCGTCTCCAGTTCACTCTCAAGCTCTTCGGTTCGAGTTATTTGCGCGCCGGGCTGCGTCCCCTCACTTCGCCGTCTTCCAGAGTACAACTTGACTCTGTGCCGCTCTTTTAGCAAGTACACACAGCCGCCATTCGCAACGCTCGCGCGCGTGCCACATTCGTTCCAAACAAACCCCTCCACCGATACGCCGTCGATAAACCAGTCACTTCGGTCTTCCTTGCAAGTCAACACCGGTCAAGATGCTTTTCCAGACTGTCGCTTCCATCGCCCTTTTGGCCACCGGTGCCGCCGCCGCCGCCCCCGAAGCCCGACAACCATACCGCCTGGCTGTCATGGCACTCCCCGGCCAGAGCCTGATGCGGCGCGATACCAGCGGCTACAAGCCCGACCAGAAGCAGTGCAAAGCCGGAAATACTTGCGCCGAGTCTTGCGGTGCCGATTACCAACAGTGCGCCGGTGGAAAACCCGATGTTGCCCACTGCTTCAACCCCAAGGCTGGGGAGTCCTGTTGCACCGACAACTCTGGCAGTAGGTTCATCCGCTCTTGGAGCCAGTTGCGCGGCGATGCTAACGTATGGATGTGAATAGACTCTTGCCAGGATGGCTACTACTGCACTCATGACAGCAAGGCCCAGACCTGGTGCTGCCCCAAGGACATGGACTTGAACGCTTGCGCCGCTGCGTACACCATATCTGGTCTCGTCGCTGCCACCTCCAAGCCTCCTCCGTCTACTACCTCGCAAGCTCCTACCACCACTTCTATTCCTCCGACTACCACGAGCAGCAGCACCACGAGCAGCAGCACCGAGATCAGAACTCCCGTCGTCACTACTAGTGAGAAGAAGAACACCACCGCCGCCGCCACCAGCAGCTCCACCACCAGCATCTCTACCGCCAGCACGGGCAAGTCCACCGCCTGGACTGCTGTCAACAGCACCATTAGCACCCATGTTCCTACCCAACCTTCTGCCGGCATTCCCTCCGTCACTGGCGTCCCTCTTCCTGCTCCCACCAACGTCAATGCCGCCGCGGCCGCTTCTGGTGTTAGCGCTTTGCTGCTCGTCGCTGCTGGTGTCGTCGCCCTTCTGTAGACAAACCCGGAAGTTGGAAGGATGCGCGAGCGAGTGAGGGAACGAAACGGGAACTGAACAAGAAACTCTTCACGAGTGGAGGCGTTAGGTCACCAGGATATGATCTTAACCCAGGGAACACAAGCGGCAATTACATACTTAATCGCAACCACGAGTTAACGAGTTTTTCACGAACCAATGGCAACGGCGGTACTTTTCTTTCTACATAATCCGGTCATCATTTGGGAGATTCAGCAACTTCCTTTTGGAGGGTATCCAAAAAACAAAGGAAGCTTGCTGTCTCGCCTGGAACTGTGTGTAACTTTTCCGAGTTACCCGCAAACAATAGGCCTGCAGTTTTTGTGTCTTTTTTTATCATCTTTTATTATTTTTTGACTTGATTCTTCTGTTTCGACTGGTTCTTTTTTCCTGCGATGATTCCCCTTTTATAGGCTGCGCTTTGCTCGAGTTAAGCCCGGTTTGGTGTTTTTCAATTTTTTTTCAATAAGGGGCCTGATTTGAAGTGGTTTTGTGGAGGACGAATGGTGCTCGGAACACTCGTACATTTACATCACCATTATACCTATTTGCTTAAGATTCAGAGCGGCAGCCACCTTTTGTCTAGAGCGATCTGGATGGGGGAGGTTGGCGCATGTACGTATTGGATTTAGTGGCCTAGACAGTTAGTAATTCAGTATTTGCACACACTTTTCTCTCTTGTCCTGCTTTGCCTATACCTGTGATGATGGTGATGGTGAGGCTGACGCTTGTTTACATGTTAACTGGTGTGGCTGACATTTCTAGCATGTCTTGGCAAGGAATGCCATCGCGTCCTAGCTCGCCGTTCTGTCAAGACTCAAGAGAGCTTAGTGGACCGAGCGCCTTGATTGTCTGGAATGTTGTGGCGGCTGTCACTCTGATTCACATGCGCCAGGCGGGTGAAGATTGCCCGTGTCGCGTTAGGACTGCTGTGCATGGGGTTGAATAAGGTTCGTTGGTCTCTTGCAACAGCCAATGGGTGTGCCGTGACTACCGTGAATTATCGTAAAAACCCGAATATCGCCAAGATACAGGATCGTTATAGACATGGTTCGCTGTAACGTGCCACCCCACAACATCGTTAGCCCCCCATTTTCGTCACATCCACAACGACGCGATTAATGCAAGAGTGTAACGGTGGCTTAGGTTCTAAGGCACAATAGGTCTGTTTCTTAGAAAGTAAGTCAGGTTAAATGCTATAGAGTAGCTTTTTTAAGTAGTATTATAATAAGGCTATTAAGAGTATAAGCCTTATTCTTATTTATATACTAGTAGCTTATAATGCTAGCTAACTGCTTTAAGTACTCTTAGTTTATAATATAATACTTCTCCCTTATTAGTCTTATTCTTAAGGCTATTTTATTTTATTTAGTAAGTATTCTCTTTCTTTCCCTCTTTTCTCTTTTTTCTTTCTTTATTATTCTTTTTATAATATCTTTTAACTATATTTTAAAATAATAATCTTACTTTAACTAAAAGATTAATTATAAACGTCTTTTTAAGTTTATATTTACCTTTAGCTTTATTATACCTTTCTATAATTTATATTAAAAAAACAATTAAGAGTGTATTATTATTAAAGGGAAAGATAG